CTATCCGTTGAGCCACAAGTCAACTCTCTTGTCGGTGTGTGATCGGGAGTATATATATTAGTGGGTAATTGTAAATATGTTACCAAAACAATCGATAACTTAAACTTAACAAGTAACATTACTATTCGCCTTCCAACATCTACACTTGGGGTTTCAAGATCCGCAAAGGTAGCAAACAGGATGAATACATCCTGAAACAGATCGGTGTACAATTACCCACTACTTTATATACTCCCGATCACAAACTGACAAAACAGCGGACTCGTGGCTCAATAACTAGGGCGTTTGCCCCTGGCCGGAGAGACGCGGGTTCAAAACTCGAGGGTGGAAGCAATTTCCGCTGCTACACCGGAGTTGGGTATCTCCACCTGACGACGGTGAATAGGTCAGAATAGGCTTTCTTGGAAGTTCCTCTGTTTGCCGGTAGTACATAACATTATCCATCCTCTTACCATTGTCTGCGCGAACACTTATTCCACTGCTTTCCAATGTTTTCAGAGATTAATTTTTTTACTATTAAATGTGCTAAACCTATAGTTGGCTGCCTAGTTGCATGTCATTCACAGTTGCCGCTTTTTCCTCGGATATGAACAGCGTAACAAAACTGCCGGAAAAGGTACAATATTCTATGGTTCGTCTGGAAGCATCTATCTTGCCCTATAACGAAGTAAACATCAGGTATTAGCTATGACATTATTTAAGTCTGGCCTACACTGACCATATGATGGGATGGCAATGAGTGTACATACTCACATACTTATGGAAGGAAGTTTAGGAAACTTAATATTTAGCACGCGGGATGCATGTCAGCTATTGATACAATTTTAGGAATATATTACTATAATAGGCTATCCGCTGGTCTTAGTAAGTATGATTACTAGAATTAGTACTCTTGCGGTGGCATATTATCTCTAGCAGCAGCATTATAGCCCAAGCTTAGTGGAATGTGGCGCAGCTTTCGGTAGATAGATTTGAGACGACGAAAACCAAGGCTAGCCCTGACGTGCTTAGGGCCTCAAGCATGTACTTACACGGAACAGCTTAAGCCCACCTTCACACTCGTTGTTGATATCAAGGATGTAGGAGCAACAGTGTGAATTTTATCCGCGTCACCTCTGTGTTATACTACCAGCAGAATAGTACCAGTACTACTAACATTCGGCTGCATTGCTAACCAGCGGTAGTCGTAGTAGTCGTCGTATCAGTCTCAGCCTACTTGAGCATGTCCGGACACCTACTGAAGGTGAGAGAGAGTGCAGGTGGTGCGTTTTTACCCGCGCAAAGTCTACTGTCACTTAAGACTAAGTTAGGCGGTGTTTCTAGCTTGTATTTGAGACAGCGGCCAACGCCGTATCCAGTCTGGTCTTCTTGACCCCAAATGAAAGTAAAAAGTGCTGTTGGCGCCAACTACCTTTCCTATCACTTAGATCTACTCCCTGTCTCCGTCATTGCACCAACTTGTGTGTGCCTATGGTATACTTCATCGGAATCGACGGTCGAAGAACCACCGCCACCACCACCACCACCACCACCATCATCATCATCATCCTCATCATCATCATCCTCATCATCATCATCATC